GAAACGTCGCATCTGTCGTTGTTAATAACACAGATGGCGTTATAAAATATAGCATACAGCATTTATGTCCTCTACAAAAATTGTATAATAAACTCAGATTTAAGTGAGGAGCAGGCAACGTTGCATATATATCTGGCAATCAGGTGATGTGCCAAAAAAAAAAAAAGCGCTTGACTGCCATAAATCAATCGTGTTCGCCTATGGACAGCACGGGACTGACTGTTCTTTTTTCAGTGTAAATGCTTTTTGTTTTGTGATGTTAAGTCAATGTCATAGGTTTTTTCTAACCTAGAAAATACAACATAATGAAAAGAAAAATTATGTTTCTGAAAGTTAATTCCCAAATGTCATTATATGAAAAGTATTGAGATTAAAACAAATCATAGTTATGCTATTTTTTCAAAAAACACTGGATAACATTATCCGTATCTACGTATGTGGAGGATCTGAAAACAACTGTAATTATGTGGTATTCACCACACCAAATTTGTTCTATTCTTTTATAATTTCTTAGAACATCAATATTTCTTTTAGTGCTAATATGCTTTGCGTTGAAAACAAAGCTGTCCATGTTCATATGGAAATTTCGTTTTTAAATTGACCAAGCATTCGATGGTTAAAGTATGTCTACATATTTTATTAACACCCATCATACGTAAACAATATAGATTTTAATAGTATAGTTATATTAAAGCATTATTAACAGTTATTCAACGTAAAATTATACTGGTGCACATAACGAAGGTTATGTAATATAAACAAAATGCTGTTCTAACTTGGCGCCAAGTTATAACTGCAAAAAATGTAGAAAAGGCCTTCAGTTTGGAATTTTCCTTACTTTTCTTGTACAAAATTATCAATGGGCACATTGATTGCCCCCAACCATTAAGAATCACCCTGTAGTTCTCTGATTGTTCAGAAAGCTATGTTATAAAGATGTATTTTTATTGATTAGAAAAAAATTTCATACATTCTGCTGTTCCATCATTTTTATGAATTATCAGTTGATTTGTCCAGGCATTGTTTAGTTTACAAGACGTCTGAATGTTTGAAGTTCTTTTCAAATAATGATCTGAAACTTAATGTTCTCTTCCCAAAATAATAATATATCATAGTTTAGCAAAATATCTATATCAAGTTGCTGTTATACTGGAGTATTTAAAGTTCCGGTGGATTTACAAAAGAGAGCATAGCCCATCTGACACTGCCCTGTGGGCATCCATGTTATTGTTCAATAACATATGGCTTGGATGGCATTGAAATTATAGTCAGCTTTGCATATCAACCCTGCTGCTCTAAGAATGGATGATTTGAAATGAAGTGTGGAAACTGTTTTCGACAAAAAGCAGTATAAATCATCACTGGTTATTGAGTCATATAAAAACTTACAAATATTGTTTGCAAATCTCCTTCAGAGCTGTGCCTTTAGGTTAGATCACAAGTAATCTCCGAGCTTCTGATAATTCTCAGGATCTCAGGGGTTGACACCGGTGGCTAAACTCTTCTGTTCAAAAAGTTATACGGAGATTTCAACAGGTATGATCTTCAAATGTTACACTTCTCAAATGAGTAACTGCTGCATTTCTGATCTTCCTCAGCATTTCCAGAAGCCTATCTATTGACTGGAAACATCTTACCAATACTAAAGTTTTGATTTGGAGTTTGTCTTATAGTATTTACAAATATATTAGAACTGTGGGTATTTACATGTTTATACTTCGCAATTCTGAACAAAAGGCACATGTCTCAAATAATATAATAGGGACGTTATTCAATCAAAATGAAATGTTTATGTTAGAAGAAATGAAAATGGCTTGCGAAGTAAGGTTATTTTTGCAAAGCACACAGCTATAGGAAGCAATCTACTAGAAATTTGAATCTGACCAATCAGACAACGTCAGTTGTGAATAAGCGGCACATTTTTTGAGGGTACAACATGATTGTCATATTGTGCACCCACAACACTGCTTTGTTTCCCATTCGCTCATGAGTTTCATCCCTTTGTATAGCGCCATAAAGAAGCCTTCCGGAAATTTAAATCTGACCAATCAGACAATTTTTAGAAGGTGTGACATGGTTGTCATATTGTGCATCCATAGTAGTGCTTAGTTTCCCATTCGCTCATATGAGTTTCACCTCTTTGAGTATAAGGTTAAGTAACGTGTTTTGTGTATGCAACAAGACATACGCGTAACTGTAACGACTGTTGCAACCACTTGGCTGTTATAAATACACAGCTATATTTAATCTTGTAGACTTTTGGTCTCTTTAGAGTGGATTAAAATTAAGTGTCATGTAAAATTGTGGCACTAATTAGGGTTTACAATCATATTTAAGCCGATAATGACTTGTATAAACTCCTAAATTTCAAGTTGCCTAGTTGCGGGTAAACATTGAAACGTTGCCAAATCGTACTTGACTGTTATTACCATTATAGTCCGGTATGTTTAGAATATAGAGATTTTAAATCTATTCAAAATATTTACTTTCACGCCTAAAAAAGGATAATACTTATCGGTATAATCCAATATTGGATGGAGTGATCGTCATAAAGCCGAAAATGGTACGTTTTAGATGTTTCGGTATCACGCGCTTGATGGAGTAATTTTAAAATATCTAAAATTTTCAATGGAAACGAATAATGATGAAAACAGTTGCAGATTTGAATCCGAGGTATGAGCTTTCTTATGTAAAAGCCGCCAAGTCCGTATCTTTGTTATCTTCGGAGAATATAGACTATAGACAGTGAAAATAGAAAAACCCTCTTTAATCTCCTACTATTCTCTATGTTTTAGGGCTGTGGTGTCAATCGTTTCTACAATTGTTATGACCTTATTAATTGTCATAAATCAAATCCAAGGGAATAACCACAATGTTTGTGTTATGTGCCGCGGTTATAATATGATTCAAGATGACGTCAGTTACACGAATCGCTTGAACGCATTGGTTTTAACCGCGGTTTTGTTGCAAGTTGTTTATTTTAGAAAAGCGCGTATATGATTTCTGATTATTTTTATTATCACTTAATAATTGGTGCTTTTTCGTTTACAACTGTATATGGAAAGTTTAAATAAGAAACCTGTCATAATATTCATGGGAGAAATGTTTTTTCAGATTTTTTTTTAATGATGGAACCATGGCTTTGAAGCTATGATCACTTTCAATTCTCTAAATTTTTCCGCGTGTCAAAGAAAACATTTATTGATTCAGCAGAAATGATGAAAAAAGAAATTAGCAAAAGCGTATACAGGTGGATATCATCTAGTCAGTTTATATGGCCATATTTTAATATTCTTGTGGTATATGGCTACACAGGATAGTTTGTTAAGCATAAGAACTACATTTAAAGTGCTCCCAACAATAATGAGTATAATTAATAAGGTGCTCCACTGTATGGTAAAACTGAAGTCAGCCTGTATCAATGTTCTCAAAAATGAAGCTGAAGTACAATAATAATATCCAATACTCGGCAAAATTCTAACTGGTCACATTTCAAATAATAATCAGAAATATAAAACTACTTTTAAGTTGGGTAAATACCACAATTTTGCGGTGATAACTATGACATATAACAGCTGATTCGTGACGTCACGGATCTTATAACCAAATTGATAATTACACTCGGTTGAACCGATCGGTAAATACCAATCCAAAATGGTAAATACCATTTCCATTTGGTTATCCGCTTGAATTTGATTATAGTTTGTACAGTTTTTCAGAAACGTTTCTGTTGTTCCGTGTCAGCGCTTTATTTTCAGGTTATGTTTTATTAGCCTGAAATTTCGTATCATTAAAATAAAACAACCTCACAATAGGACAGCCCTGGCAATGATATGGAACAGTAGAAATCTAATACATAAACCTTTTTGAAGGATAGAAAAGAGTATGAAAATGAAGGTTATAATAGCGTTTTACGAGACAATTGTAGGAACTATTGATGATAGCGCCCTTAATTGCCTAGTTGTTTTAGTGTGTTAATTAAATGCTATATACTGTATGTTACTTCTACCTTTCCCTATCCTTCTACCATTTTTTAATTCTATACGTTTAAAAGTATTTTCAAAAAGATCAGAACTTCTGAACGTCAAAGAATGAGGTTTGAGCAATTTTTACTTCTTTTTTTTTCACTATCAATGAATCGATTTCTAAAAATTATAAGGATTTTTCGTTCTTGGTATAGCAATACCTTGCTTAAAAGAAAATCATTTACTCTATAAGTTAGGTAGTGATTATTCACAAGAAATTTGTACGCCTTGAGGATAGTAAGTGTATCTTCTAGTGACACAATAAACACCAGAATCTGTTTTAGCAGATGGAAAATTTCTATTGTCAAAATAAATTTTAATAGCGGTACGATGTGATCTGAAATATTAATATTTCGTAAAATTGTGACTGTTGAAAACAATTTGACGAATTTTCTTTTAAGCTGAAAGTATATACAGTATAAGGGATAAGGAAATTAAACAAGTGATATTCAATTATATATTGATTTATTTTTGAAAAATTACAATTTATTAGATTTTACAGCTAACAATTAATATAAGAAAATTGGAAAAGTGATAATAAAGAATGATATATGTATTCATTGTAAAGTCTATTAGGTTTTATAACAATTGATATTTTTGAATGGCATTTTCTATCATCGTCGAAGTATAATTCGCTTAGGATCTAACATCAGCGTGAAGATATTAAATGCCTAAAAAAATTTATTAAATATAAAATTATATCTAGGAGTATATGTGTATTAAAATAACTTACATAAAAATTTTTGATTATCAGATTTTACTATGTTGATGTGATAATTTTGTAGTATTGTAGTTGTACATAGTAATAGTATAATAATGGGTACATATTATTTAGGTGGACTCTGTTTTTGCTTTATATAGTTATGTGTTCTACAATTTTAAATATACTGTAGAAAGAATCTGAAATGGCAAGATTATATAGTAAATTGCTAGTAAAGTGGCATTTCGTTTTTGTTTTTGGAAAAAAAAAATTACCTGACTGCCTTTAGTTTTCATTAAAGTTTGCTTTTAAAGTTATCCTTTATCTATAGTTTATTATCAATACAGCGGACAGGGACTGCGAGGAATATTGTTGATTTCTTTGTAGAGAGATCGTCCATAGTGGCGTGACAATTTCTACTTCTGAACAGGTTGCAAAGTAGAATTCACATCAACATTTTTCAACATTTATCATCATTAAACAGAAATAATTAAAACAGTGATCTGTAACTGATTAATGTTAGATGAAAAGGATTAATTTGCAGCTCTCAGCTAGTCCATGTTCGGACTACCCAGGACTCACCGCGCGGAGGTAGCTGCAAGTCGAGTCCCACCCTCCTTCCACCCGTCTTTCAGTTTCAATAAAATGATAAATACTTATTACAAAAAGAAAAAAAAATGAAACTGTAAGACGCACAAAAATTAAACGTAAAATCTGATTATTCAAAAATTGAAAACAAATACAAAAACGACTATGAATAATATATATCTGAAAAAAAGGAAATCTAAATAAGTAAATAAATATTTAATTGAACAAATGGTAAATGGTTGTTGAATTAGGTGTTTTTATAATCCTTGCATACATTAAATTTGCTTCTTAATTTGTACCAAAAAAAAACCATTTACCAAAACTTTAATGTATCATCTAAGTTACTTCGCTCTCTTGTTTGTTATTTATTTCATTGATTTTTTTGTTTCCTTGTTCTATAATTTCAAGTATACTGAAAAAAATTGGTAACGGAAAATTGTATTTTCCATCTATTTCGCAAAAAATGATTGCCAGTGTTTATTATTGTTTCTCATTAGACTATGTTTCCTAAGTTATTCTTCTTCCAGTATTCATATTGCAAAAATTATCTAGGTAGATCATATCCCTTTTTCATATGATTTCATTTTCCATCATGTCATCTGAAAAAAAAATTATAATGCAGGACTTTTTGTTAAAATGTCAGATTCTTAGAAATATTTAATATCTGTGTTTGTGAAAAAATATAGTTGATACCACTAAAATAATGTACATGAATGTTTTCAGAACAATATCTTATATCAAAGAAACTTACGTCAGATGTTTCAGACATTAGTATCCATTCTGTAATTGTATAGATATATGGTTTGCTATAATAATGCGTAAACACTATTTAAGTGGATTTTCTTTCTGTTGTGTCTTTTGTTTTGTAATTTTAATTTTACTGAAAGAGAAACCTGAAAATGGAGAAAATGCAGATGATATAGATTGCATTTTCCATCTGTTTTTGGAAAAACATGATTGATTGTCATCTTTTCCTATTATAGTTTGCTTCCAAGTTGTCTTTTTCTCAGCATTAATATTGCAGTTTATGGTTAAGTCGAGTTTTTCTTCTTTATAAGGTTTATTTTTCCAAGCTGTTTCTGTTACATTAGCATTATGGTAAATAGCAGACAACATATAATCCCAGATTTTTAGACCTTCCAAATGTGAGCGTTTCGTAATTTTTGTGATCTAATATTGGATGCTCATTAATCAAGTGGGGTTTTGCTTTTCATATATTGTTTTGTTGTTTAGTATTTTAAATAACCTGAAAAATAGACCTAAAAATGGAAATATTGTTGATGATGTAATCTGCATTTTATATTGAAAAGTTTCTCGGACTATCTCCATCTGTTGTTGCAAACTATGCATCCTTTTTTCAGTATTGATATTGTAGTTTTTAGCTTGTAGGTTCATCGTTGATATTCCTTACATAGTTTATTTTTTCAACGATTCATCTAAAAAACGTAAATGGACATACATTTTTTGTCAACAAAACTGTTTATATCTTATAAATATGATATGGTTTTTGGTAAATAAGTCGTAGCTGATAGGATTAAAATGTACAATAAGATGTTCAGAAGAATATTTGTGAAAAATATTTTGTATAACTTACATAAAAGTCCTTATTTGACCCATTAGTATTGTATACACAGAATAGTATATGGTAACATGATTTTGCTTGTGAAATTATGGTTCCTCCACTACATTTATGTTGTAATTTATAGTTTAGATCAACCTTTCTATTTCTTTATGTTATTTGCTTCTGTAGCGGTTGAGTACAATGGTCTTTGAAATATATCTACATTCCATATTGTATAATTTTAAGTAAACTGAAAAATAAAGCTAAAAATGGAAAGATTGTTGATGGTGTAATCTGCAGTTTGTATTGAAAAGTTTCTCGGACTATCTCCATCTGTTGTTGCAAACTATGCATCCTTTTTTCAGTATTAATATTGTAGTTTGTAGCTTGTAGGTTTATCGTTCATATTCCTTGCATAGTTTTATTTTTTAAACGATTCATCTAAAAAAAGGGATTAAAATGTACAATAAGATGTTCAGAAGAATATTTGTGAAAAATATTTGTATAACTTACATAAAAGTCCTTATTTGACCCATTAGTATTGTATACACAGAATAGTATATGGTAACATGATTTTGCTTGTGAAATTATGGTTCCTCCACTACCATTTATGTTGTAATTTATAGTTAGATCAACCTTTTCTATTCTTTATGTTATTTGCTTCTGTAGCGGTTGAGTACAATGGTCTTTGAAATATATCTACATTCCATATTGTATAATTTTAAATAAACTGAAAAATAAAGCTAAAAATGGAAAGATTGTTGATGGTGTAATCTGCAGTTTGTATTGAAAAGTTTCTCGGACTATCTCCATCTGTTGTTGCAAACTATGCATCCTTTTTTCAGTATTAATATTGAAGTTTGTAGCTTGTAGGTTCATCGTTCATATTCCTTGCATAGTTTATTTTTTCAACGATTCATCTAAAAAAGGGATTAAAATGTACAATAAGATGTTCAGAAGAATATTTGTGAAAAATATTTTGTATAACTTACATAAAAGTCCTTATTTGACCCATTAGTATTGTATACACAGAATAGTATATGGTAACATGATTTTGCTTGTGAAATTATGGTTCCTCCACTACCATTTATGTTGTAATTTATAGTTAGATCAACCTTTTCTATTTCTTTATGTTATTTGCTTCTGTAGCGGTTGAGTACAATGGTCTTTGAAATATATCTACATTCCATATTGTATAATTTTAAATAAACTGAAAAATAAAGTTAAAAATGGAAAGATTGTTGATGGTGTAATCTGCAGTTTGTATTGAAAAGTTTCTTGGACTATCTCCATCTGTTGTTGCAAACTATGCATCCTTTTTTCAGTATTAATATTGAAGTTTGTAGCTTGTAGGTTCATCGTTCATATTCCTTGCATAGTTTATTTTTTCAACGATTCATCTAAAAAAAGGGATTAAAATGTACAATAAGATGTTCAGAAGAATATTTGTGAAAAATATTTTGTATAACTTACATAAAAGTCCTTATTTGACCCATTAGTATTGTATACACAGAATAGTATATGGTAACATGATTTTGCTTGTGAAATTATGGTTCCTCCACTACCATTTATGTTGTAATTTATAGTTAGATCAACCTTTTCTATTTCTTTATGTTATTTGCTTCTGTAGCGGTTGAGTACAATGGTCTTTGAAATATATCTACATTCCATATTGTATAATTTTAAATAAACTGAAAAATAAAGTTAAAAATGGAAAGATTGTTGATGGTGTAATCTGCAGTTTGTATTGAAAAGTTTCTTGGACTATCTCAATCTGTTGTTGCAAACTATGCATCCTTTTTTCAGTATTAATATTGTAGTTTGTAGCTTGTAGGTTCATCGTTCATATTCCTTGCATAGTTTATTTTTTCAACGATTCATCTAAAAAAAGGGATTAAAATGTACAATAAGATGTTCAGAAGAATATTTGTGAAAAATATTTTGTATAACTTACATAAAAGTCCTTATTTGACCCATTAGTATTGTATACACAGAATAGTATATGGTAACATGATTTTGCTTGTGAAATTATGGTTCCTCCACTACCATTTATGTTGTAATTTATAGTTAGATCAACCTTTTCTATTTCTTTATGTTATTTGCTTCTGTAGCGGTTGAGTACAATGGTCTTTGAAATATATCTACATTCATATTGTATAATTTTAAATAAACTGAAAATAAAGCTAAAAATGGAAAGATTGTTGATGGTCTAATCTGCAGTTTGTATTGAAAAGTTTCTCGGACTATCTCCATCTGTTGTTGCAAACTATGCATCCTTTTTTCAGTATTAATATTGTAGTTTGTAGCTTGTAGGTTCATCGTTCATATTCCTTGCATAGTTTATTTTTTTAACGATTCATCTAAAAAAGGGATTAAAATGTACAATAAGATGTTCAGAAGAATATTTGTGAAAAATATTTTGTATAACTTACATAAAAGTCCTTATTTGACCCATTAGTATTGTAGTAAGTATGAATACACAGAATAGCATATGGTAACATGATTTTGCTTGTGAAATTATGGTTCCTCCACTACCATTTATGTTGTACTTTATAGTTAGATCAACCTTTTCTATTTCCTTATGTTATTTGCATTTGTAGCGCTTGAGTACAATGGTCTTTGAAATATATCTACATTCCATATTGTATATTTGTCCAAGAAGAATTTCTTATTATTTCTCTTCATTTTACTGGATTATGCTGCTTTGCAATAGCTCATTATATACTACGTTAACAGTGTAAGAGTGATTATTTGGAGTTTCAGCTACATGTTGACGGTCACCTATATTTATCATTTGAATCTTGAGGTTTTCAAAACTTCTTGCTCTTGATAGTGCAACATACAGTTGTCCGTGATCAAATACTGTTACTGGTAAAAATAAGCCGACACTGTTCAAAGTTTGACCTTGACTTTTATTAATTGTCATTGCAAAAGCCAGACGTACAGGGAATTGTCTCCTTTTCAAGTTGACTGGTAGATCAAGAGAATTTAGAGCGATATTATCAACTCTGGAAATAAATTCGATCGAAGGTTCATTATTAGATTCTTCCACTCGTTTCGCTTCTATAAAATTTTCGTGTAAATTATGAATCAATAAACGTGTGCCGTTACATAAGCCTCTCTTCACATCTAAATTCTTCGTTAAAATGATAACTGCGCCAATCTTTAGTGTAAGTATGTGGGGAGGAAGTCCTGGAGCATCCAAAGAATTTAAAAAGTCTTGCGGCCATGCGGAATCTAATCATCAGCAGCATTTTCGGTTGTATCGTCTTCTCGGATAATACTATCGACACTTAGGTATTGCCGTGACCTACCTGGCAGTTTTTCTAAAACAACTGAATTGATATCCTTGACATGAATGTTTAGTGGAGACAAAATCGCTTTTTGTAATAATGTGAAATCGTGTTCAGTTAAATTACTACCGTATATGCTTTCAGTAACATCTTCTACAATGATACGATTAGGAATTTTAACTATAGTGTCTCTGCTATTTTCTAAGCGACGTAAAATTTCGGAATTATTTCCTATGGTCATCAGCCAATCTTGAATTCGTTTTCTTGTGGCAATGCTCTAACGTTCGTAACAAGATCGTACTGAACAAAGTATTGCCATAGTTGGGAACATTTCACTGATGCAGAAATAGTTTCATTTTTGCCTGCCAACGGAACGATAGGTGCGCATTGCCTGAAATCACCTAGAATTATGATAATCTTGCCGCCAAATGGAATGTCATTGTTCATTATTTCTCTTGTCTTTCTATCTATCTCATTGAATATACTTTTATGTACCATAGATATTCATCAATGACAATAATTTTTGAATATCTAATATTATCAGCAATCGTACTCTGATTGCGAATCCTCGACGTTGAATTTTCTAGAAATGGAACCGGTAACATAAAAGAAGAATGAATCGTTTGGCCATTTTTTCAATAAGCTGGCTGCGATGCCAGTATAACACATAGCAATATAACGGTGATTATTTCCTAGTAAGTAAGCCAGTAGTGTATTCAACAGAAATGTTTTCCTGCACCTCCAATTCCGTTAATAAAAAATAGACGATGTGGAACCCTTTCGTTTTCGTTTAGGGCCAAAAGTATGTCGTTAAAAATAAGGCGTTGTTCTTGGTTTAACAGAGGAATGTTCCTATTAGCAATTTGTTGTTCGTCTGCTTGGTCATAATTGTATTCATCTTCGATTAGGTGTTCTACTGGTTCAGTGGGTAAGGGTAGTTGAAAGTCTCTATTTGATTTGCCTAAAAATAAAAATGTATGTGATTGAACAAATATTATATAATTATACTGGGAAATTACTTATCACATTAATATTATTTTAAAATAATGTAATATAGGTATAAGATCGATTGAAATAAAAAAATGTATTATGTTATGTTAAATTAATAGTGTTAAAGATATTGACGTAATGAATTAATTCATATTTTTTTAGCACGGTAGTGTTACCTAGAAAATGATTAAATTTAAAAAATTTCGAATACGGAAAAAATGTAAAGTAAAAATAAAAAGTTATTTGAAAACATAGGCATCAATTTTAAATGAATTAATAAAACTAATTATTGATAGAAATACTAACCTTGTAGTGTTAGATATCGATTGATGTAAGCCAAAGCATAGTTGTAGGCTAGTTCGTTATTATTTAAGCGTCGTATATAATCTTCGGATAAATGATATTTAAATTGTTCCCATAATGCTAACGGATTTTCGATTTCACAAAAAAGTAACATTTGTGAAAACATACGGCGAAGAGCTCGTGGAATTCTACGCGTATAGCCTCTTGCAAAGTAGAAAACCAAATGCTATCGTCCGTGAGAAGGTTCATCGCAATAGCAGCGTCACGGAACGTTTCGTACGTACGGCCATGTACAGTTCGAAGGTCTTCGAATGATCTACATCCTGTTTTATGCAAAAGAAGTTGACGAAGATAAAATCGTTCACCTTCTCTAGGATGAACAAAATATAACCTAGGAATTAAACGATCAAAATTTCGTTGACGTTTTACCCAATGTCTTGTTTGACTTATTTTCCACACATACTATAAGGTATTTGTACGTAAGTGTATTGCCTAGCTTCTTCGTCTTGTACATTCAAAGCGAACCATCCTGTTAGCGTAGTGTGTTGTGTTGCGGCTCTTTCTACAACGTCAGGGATGGTACTATTTGTATTAAAATAGACTTGTTGCATATTGGGAAGATGTACAGTAAGTTTGATGATAGCATGAGACATATCGTGCATTTCGAATGTATAAATTCTCCACATTGCCTCAGGTGCGCTAACATAGCGAACGTCCATGAACGTTTGAATTTCGTTGTATATAGGTTCCTGAATAGTTGTTGTTTGACCGTCTTGTTCCTCTACAGTTCGCACGACAATTTGAGCTCTATCAAATCCTTATATATATATTTAAATAATATTTCACGCTTTTTATTGAAGAACAAGCCTCTACGTTAATATGAGCTTCGTATTTTCAAGTAGATAAGCATTGTATGGTACAACCCAACCGTTATCTACTGTTCTTCTACCTATGTGTATAGGTACTTCTATTGGCCGTCTTTTATATAGCGGATATCCAGAGGAATTGTATAATGTATCTTCACGCAAAGATTTCGGGAATTGTTTGCTGCACTGTCCTTCGTCATCTAAGCATCGAGCAGCAGTACAAGGTCCATGAAGCATATGTACTTTGACCAATTCGTGCAAGTTGGGATGCGTGATAGGGTCGGGAAATTCTGCTGAAATTAAACGGTCGATTGCTGCAGAGTCCAAGATTTTATCTGATCCTTCCAACCAAATCAACATATGCGCATGAGGAAGGCCTCTTTTCTGAAATTCTATCACGTAAACGTAAGCAACGCAAATTCCCATGACATGTCGTTTATCAATATCTTCTATTAATTCCTTCAATTTGCTCTTAAACACCCTCGAAACAAAATCGGGCCTATTTGAGGAATGTTGGTTTGTATCTAGGTTATTCCTAATTTCAGGCCAAACAGGATTGCAAGTAAATGTTAGGAAAATATCTGGTTTCCCATGTTTTGTGACTATAGACATGGCATCCAAATAATTTTGTCTAAATGCGCGTGGGCTTTCCTATGAATGTTGACGGTAGGATGAAAATATTGCCTGGTTGATAGTGAACATCAAGTTGTCTAGAGTCTAAATAGTCGATTAGTCCTTGGAATATTTCTTGCCTGATGCGTGGTTGGTTTCAGTAATAAATTGTAATCGACTCTGTTCTATTTTTACGTATGCATCTACGATGTACTGTTGCGTCAGCTTGCCTGCCATTACAAATTGGTTGAAAGTATCTGGTCGAACAGCTATTCTAAAACTGTAGTATTCCAGTAAAGATACATCACCTCTTCTACGTTGATGCGCTGTTCCAGATTGCCAGCCTGGCTCACCTCTTGGATGTAATAGGGGATATGTCATTGCGTCGCAGTTAACACTAAGATATGGTAATTCGTGGATGATTTGATCGTTGTCTCGACAATAAACATGTAAGCAACGATCCAGGGGCGGTCTTCCATCTTCAGAAATAAATACGGCTGCTATTTCATTCGCTTGTACTGCGCCATATTGTCTAAAATTAATATCCCGAGCACGGTTGTTATTGATGTACAATTCTAAAGTTAGTTGACGATTGTTATGTTGTTGTTCCTGATAGACATCTTTAAGAAATCTATACGCTTGAGCAAAAGGATTGTGGCTGTGCATGTAATTAGAAATAACATCGACGGTTTCTCGATTTAATTCCGTTCGATTTTGTGGGCCAGCAGACCGAAGCTGATTTGCCAGTTCGGTATCCAAAAAATATAGATTGCCGTATTGTCTGCGTTCATTAGAAATATTTGTTGAACATTTGATATATAATGTCTTATTTCTCCCTGTACCTGTAAAGAAAAATAAATTCATTATGGAAGGGATAACGAATTTATTAATATTATAAGTGGTTTAAAAAATGAAATAATTGGTGTCTAATATATAACTGTTCTTTGTATATGAATAAAATAAATAGTATTGTAAAAAAGATACAAGTAAGATATGAAATATATACTGGGAAAGGTTGGGAAATCTCGAAACTGGATATGTTACAGACCAAAATGTGTGAATTGACTTAAACATATCTCAATCTAAAAGTTGATAGTTTGCAAGATACAGGATGTCAAAGTTACAATTTTATTTTCTATTTTTCCTTAATGTTTGAGAAGTATTTCAGATGTTGCCATAAAACACGGTATAGGGAGGTCTTCTACTATAAGAAACAAGAATTCGTTATTTTTTATGGCCAAACTTTTTGAGGGCGCCACATACAGTACTATTTCGGTAAATAAATCATCATAACTTTTTTGTGCTATTTTAACAACAGTTAGAAGTGTAAAGTGAAAAGTGTAAAAAGTAATTTTTAAAAATACCAATGCATTATTTGTATTATGATGATAAATTATTTTTACAACATAATAATAAAGTTGCTTTAGATAATATCTGGGTAGCGTTGCTATGGTTTCTAATGTTCGGCATAAGATTATTTTAAGGTCTATGAATAATTTTAAGTTGACAATAAAACGTTTACCATCATGGAATATAGGTTTGATGAATATTCTGATGAGAATTTAATATATGGATTAGTAAAATGTAGTGGTTTAAAAGCACGAAGATTGTACGCTGACAGATTCTCTAATAGTCACTTGCCTAATTCAAAGATATTCCAACGAAACGATCAGTGGTTACGAGAAACTGATAAGAAATGATTATAGTCTTATTTTGAGTAGTAAATACCATTTGCATTTTAGTTAAATTTGCTCGAAGTATGGGCCAACATACTGGAGCTCTCAAAATTGTACGTACAGCTGAAATTGAAGAAAATGTTTTAGATGTTGTCTTTGAAAATTGTACAGTTGAGGTTGGGAATGTAGTTCGAGAATATCAAGTTTCCAAATGTTCCATACATACCACTTGCAAAAAGTATATGGTTTAAGAGCGGATGAAGAAACCGCAAGGATAGAAATTTGTACATAGCTCTTAACTCGCAAAATCTTTACATGTATGCAATATATCCTCATGAAATAATATAAACTTGCCAAAAAGTACAATTTCAAATTAATTTATATAGAAGAAATGTTCTTCTAGGGTTATTTAAAACGACGCATTTACAATACGTTAGTGGAAATTGTAGATGATCTTCAACAAAAAATGTTCTACCATAGTTAGGAAATGAAAAATAGTATCGACGTTTTGGAGAATGTAGCAAGGATTAGTTTGTCGAATTTGAAAGTGTGTTAGATAAGGTAGTGCTCATTTTGAACAACTTTTGTAGTTATTATTTTCGTTTAGTAGTTTTGTTGCCATCTTCATTTATTATTGTTAAAAATCATAGCAATGCTACTCACATATTGTATAAAACAATTTGACTATTATGTTATAAAAATGATGTATCATCATGGTATAAACAATACAATGGAACTTTAAAAAACAAATATCTCGAAAACTATTAGCTTTAGACATTTCAAACAAGTCTTTTTTGTTGTGAAAATACGGAAAAATAAGATTTTTTGTTTAGTTGTATACAGAGTAGCAAAAAAGTTATGATAAGTTATTGACCGAAATAGTACTACAACTGTCGCTCTGTATAACTTTGCCCAAGAACAATATTGAATTTTTGTTTCTTATACTAGAAAACCTCCCTATACCGAGTTTTATGTCAAAATCTAAAATACTTCTCAAGCAAAAAGGAAAAATAGAAAATAAAATTGTAACTTTGATGCCCTGCATCTCACAAACTATCAACTTTAGGATTAAGATATATTTAGGTCAATTCACAAAATTTGATCTATAGTGTATGTTATGCTACACTGTATGTTTCTTTTTTCAATACACATTGTAATGGAAAGTTTCAAAATATTTATATCATCAAAATATATATATATATAATGATAAAACTAAAATTCCACGACTTGGTTTGGTGGGTTATATTTCAGATCAAGCTTATTTTTTTCCTGGAAAGTACCTATAGAAGTATGAGGTTTTGTAAAATATTAAGATTCTAGGTTGAATGATCCGATTTAGATATCGTTATCCTAATTGTAATATCACGTATCATCAAATTTGCTGAAATTGAGATTCTAGCATAAATAAAAAGTAAGCAGTATTGCACACCGTCTATAAAAACCACGTATCAGTTTAACCAATAAGAAACGAGCTATTTCATTTCAAAGAATACCGCGTAACATCATCCACAAAGTTAGCTGAAAAAATACCTCGTATGAACAGCAGTTTAGACGTGGTCCTTACGAAGTGCGCATCACGCTGCGACAAGTTAGAGGAATAAGCTGATTTTAGCAAACGTACGTTGATAATTATCATAATTAGAGTAGTATATATTAGCGTTAATATACTGAACATGTCATTTATTAGTCTTGTTTGAGTAATTAAGCAATACTTTGAATAAACAAGCCGTTTTTATTCAAACTTGATGATACGTGTTTATCTCAAATTATGTCCCATTGTAATTCTTTTTGTAGTTGGATGATACGAGTTATTGTTTATTACTATTCCAAGCATTTAGCGAAAGAATCGACGAAACATTAAAATGTCCTTGCTTCGTATTTCCTAATTTATAAAATTTATATTTGAAAAGCGCTGTTGCCAAAATGCTTACTTCAAGTTCAAGTAAATTGCCAAGATGTATAGTTCTAAATTAAATACAACTTTTCGGAATTTATAGGAACCTCATCCAGCCGTTAGTATCTTATAGCTTTGTTCCATTATAGATGTCAAGCAGAAGTAAAAGGATTCTGGCCGCTGCTTTGGAAACGAATAAAAACAGCCAGGTTTTAGAAGAAGCGCTTACACATTCAATCATTTTTACAAATGAAGATGTTATTATTGAAAATATGACTAATGATGGATTTTCGAAAGGAATTTCTGAAATTGACTCTGTTCTCCCACTAACGTTGAGTTACAATGATATGAATGTAGATATCATAGACGCATTGGTACATAATGCTGAACATGTGTCACCATCTAAGCATGCGGACGGAAGTACAGTTTTTCCAATTGCAGCTTCAGGCGAGAACAACGTTTCCCAACTACGTTATGCTGATATAGCTTCCCAATCTGTTTCAAAAACCTGCAAACATCAAGTGAACTTTTATATGGAGAAATGAATGCAGCAGCTAGAAGACAAGACCAGTCTGTCTCAAAGGATGCTGATCGGGAGTATGAAATGGAAAAAGAAAATGAACTTGACGAATTTGATTCAGACTTTATTGATACTGAAGACGAAAATTGTACCGATGGACAAGAACTTGAACGACAGAAGAAATCCAAGAGAAAAAGGAAACCTGAAAATATTCATTGGGCTAGGGAAAAGACAAAACGTAACGGAATGGAAGGCAAGGATTATCTAGGATATAGTCGAAGTAAAACTGGTCAAATACTACACAATAGCGAAACGCAATGCAGAAGCTTAGGTCCAGCTTGCTCCTCCATGAAGTGCTTGAAATACAAAAAGAGACACTGTAATATTATAACTCATGAAGAGCGCTTGTCGATTTTTAAAAAATTTTGGACTGATATGTCTTGGGAGCAAAAACAGATAGATATATGTAGCAAGTTTGATGGAAAGAGAGAAACCAGAAGGAAATATGTGAAGTTTCATAATCGGGAAATTGAACTACCCACGGACTACGTGAAAGTAACAAGAGAAGCGCGATTAAAACCAGAACCGTACGAAGTTAAATACATGAACCATACGGATTTCAGAAATTATGATATTAAAGACCAAATGGTATATCATAGTATCAGTCCAGGAAAAAAAGCACATGACCCAACAGTAACTAATTTAAGAGAGATCCACTATCAATCAAAAGGCAAAATTCAAATTAATCTGCAGTTTTAAGATGAGCTCACCGACCTACCTCAAGGAATTTTAAAGAAGTCATGTATGATACACCACCAAAGACGTTATATAGATGGATTAAAAATATCAAACAAGAAATATGACCATTTGCAAGATCTGAAATCTACTCTAGCAGATGAAGTACACAGTTTCTATGAGAACCTGCCTTATGAGTAGGAAGACAAACATCCTTGTCATCTTTTTCTACTGTTTCCTTTGAAATCTCTGTATTAGTTTCATTTAAATATTGTTCAACAACAATGTTCAATAAAGCCCTGTTTGGTATATTGTTTGAATAATGAAACATCTATTTTCATTATAATAAACCTAAACACTAAGTATCATCATCAAACAGTTAAGTGCAATAACATGCATCAAACATATTTTTCACAAAAAAATATGGAATCTTTAAAAATGATAACTAAGTATATTTTAACCGTAAAAGTAGAAAGACGTTACATAATTTATAAGAATAAATTATATACGGCCGCCGTAAAACAGTTTTTATCATTTTCTGTAAAACGACAAAATAGATACGTGGTATTACAATTAGGGTAACGATATGCGTTTGTAAATCAAAATATAAATTTTAATACTTTGTCAATTCTTCAATTTCTTGCTACACCTGTTTTGAGATTGTAAACGTGTGTCCAAAGTGAATCGTTTGACCTAAGAGCGTAAACTTTCAAAAAGAATCATGTTCCATAGAGTAATAAAATTGAACCCGATATAGCTCAGAATTTTTAGAATTAAGGTTTATACTAATTTTGTAAATGTTTAATGTTGTAAGCTATTTTAAATGTCTAGCTAATAATAAATCAGTAAAAAATTTCTAGAAGAATTATTTAAACTATTTGTCGAATAAATTATATTGCAATTTGAAGGTAATATTTGACTTCGTTGGATAATTCTATTTAGATGATTATATATTATTGTACATATTGCTTTGAATTGACAGGAAGGAGTAGAAAAAAAAAGAAAAATTGTTAACATACTAACATTTACATTTTGGTCAAAAATTTATATTTTGAGTGCCGTTCCAGAGTAAAGTGTTCATTGTAAGACTTTAAAATTTTATAAAGTCACTTCCATAGGTACTGCTTAGAAAAAAAAAATGAATTCGATCTGAGATATGATTTGTCAGGTTACATTGTGGAATTTTATTTTTGATCCATACATAATGTTATTTTTACTGTTTACCTTGAATACATAAGGTCCTCGACCAGGCGGATTTATAGTATTGGTAGCTAGGCTGGCGAATGCGAAACTATTGTTATAATAACGCACGTTTTCCATAAATTCTCGATCTTGAAATAGTACTCTTAATTGTTCAGGATATGAATCAAATGGAGGCAGATGTACTGCACCATCCTTACAACAATTTGAATAAACATTTCTGGAATTTTTTTCACATAAAAAATGTAAGGCTCTACAGTGAGAACAGGTAAAAGTGAAAGTTCCCAATGTATATAGACCTGTGTAATGATTAGTTGCCGCCATGTAATGATTCCCTCTTCGATGAATAGTTTCAGTTACATTTTCGGTTATTATATTATTGGTATTTTCTAGTAAATTGTCTATATTAAGGTTAGCTAATATGTCATTAAGTTCATCGTGTCCCATTGTCATAGTGATATTGTCATCACTCTGTTGTTGGTTTAAAGTTGGTAAGGATGACGTTTCTATCGGTTCAATGTGTTGTAATGGGATATCAATTTCCATCCTTGTGGAAGTACTCATTGTTAGCAAAGAGGTAGTTTCTTCAATGTCTTGTTGTGACAATGCCCATAATTTGTTGGATGGTTAACAATCTCTGAACTATTAGTACATGTCCTTTGTGGCGTGATTGCTACAGGAACAATACTGAAATAAAAATAAAATTACAAATATAATAAACATAATGTTTTCGTCCAGTCGAACAAAATCCAGAAAATGATGGATAGTAGTTTCGTGCTTTTTGGCTACACATTAGCATGGCCTAGGTATAGTTTTTTCTTTCTGGATAATGAATGAAAACATTGTGACTGTTCTTTATTTCGAACGTATGGTGTATTGAATTAAGAGTGTGCTATCTATTACACCATAATTGACTACTTCGCTCTTCGCAATGGTCGATTTTAGTGTGACAGATGGCTATTTGCGTTTTATTGAATATATATGTATATATATATATGAAGTGGGTAACAGGAGAGTGTTTTTTTATTTTTTTCATGGAAACAATAATAAATTTAGCATGAGTTGTCGGTTTTCTCCATTGATCGTATTTCCGGGCATTGTACAATTTTATATTGAAGACTGATAACAGGATAACTTGAATTGTACATCGATGTCAAATAGGTTGAAGGGCATATGCATATATAACTATAAAGTTTTCGAGACGGAGACACAAAATTAAAAATGTATGTCTGTGAGTGTATCGAACAAATGTTCACATACAGGAGAAAGTTGCATGTGTATGTATGAAGGAGATAGGGAATATAAAAGAGGTATTGATACTCTTACTTTGACCCATTACCAACGGTGACTACAACTATATTTATATATCCAGATGCGAGTGTAACCTAAAGAAACGAAGATGGATAGGGGAAAAATGATATAAAAGTCCACAACAAGAGCCAACGTATACAATGTAGTATAAAATGGCTAGAAAAGCTTGACTTTTCAATGCGAGCTGTCATCACAACCCACGTGATTGGTTATAATTACCTACTGAGGTATTTTAAGTCCTAAAAATCTAAAAAGAGAAAAGAATTATGCGGAGAAAGGTATATATCAAATAGAAAAAATAATGGGTAAAATCCGCAAAAAGAAGAAAAGCAGATTAGATTATAAAATATGATAGGTAACCCGAATGATACGTATTTTTCCGTTTGCTGGCTTCATTAAACCCGAAAGGAATACACATATGCAATTTAAAAAGTGAATACATATGCCCATACATCTAGATTTAGGTGCAATCTGAGGAAACAAAGATTGAAAGGGAAAAAAATGATATACGAAGTTTACAATAAAATTCAACCTTTATTCGTCATTGTCCGTCAGAGCGGTCCGAAGGACCTTTGTTCTTTGTTAAAGTATCGTGAGTCAGTAGGTGTATCAGATCTGATTGTCCAGATACCATACGAAGTCAGGAAGAAAGAAAGGAAGAAGAAAGAAAGGAAGGAAGGGAGAAGAGCAAAGAGGATGAAGTGCGCCGGTTTAAGGGACGCCTTGCTATTCTTAACTGGTATTCGGTTATTTTAAATTAATCCAAAAATTGATTTAGGAAGTTGTCTAAAATTGCACGATTTGATTTTGCTCATAGTGCGAGCTGCGGTCTTGTATGCTTGTGAACTTGCTTGATTGTATAGTCTACTGACTCACGCAACAGAGGGTTGCTGTGTGATTCTGTCTGAGTATAACGTAATTGCGCCTGATGTTTGATGTAGTCCCTTAGGTAAGGGATGTTGAGGTCTGTGTGAAGGGTGTCGTTGGAGATATACCATGGTGCGTTAGTGATGGTTCGTAAGGTTCTGTTCTGCAAAACCTGCAGATTACGCATGTGCGTTTTGGCAAGAAAACACCATGCTGCACATGAGTAAGTGATTGATGGTCTGATGATAATCTTATATAGCCAAACTTTGTTAACCAAACTTAAATTTGAGGTTCTACATAGTAAAAGGTAAAGGTGCTGAAATGGAATTTGGAATTTAGTTTTTAACGCTTCAATGTGATTCTGTCAGGTCATTTCTCTGTCAAGAGTGACACCGAGATATTTAGCAGAATTTCCTCATGGTAAGCAGGCTCCATTCATTGAAACCTCAGGCGAGGCGCCGCTACGGTTTTTAGTACGATAGCGTGCGTTTTCAAGTAATTAATTATCCACCGATCTGCCCATTCTAATATCCACCGCAATTTGTAACCTGTCGTGAACCACATTTCCGGTACGCGACTGGGCCATTAGTGCAGTGTCATCAGCATATAGATAGACTTTACAGTCGTTAGGGCAAGGGACATTATGCGTAAAAAGTGGGTAAAAGATTGGCCATACAACTGAACCCTGAGGGTACCGGCTCTGATGTTCCGTATTGTCGACAAGAAATTATTAATTTCTATCCGAAATTTCCTACCTTCAAGGAAGAATTTCAAAAGTTTTAGGAGTTAAAATGGAAAGCTCTTTTGAATTAGTTTATAGAGAAGGGCCTTGTGCCATATCTTATCAAATACCTTCGAGACATCCAGAAGCAAGATGCTAGTACGTTCGGTAAAAGTAAAGCACTTGGTTGTTCGCTCCATAAACCTAACCGCTTGTAACTTTGTACTATGCTCAGACTGATGTCTAAATTGCAAGTCAGGAATTACAACTACCTTTTCAGAGAGCTTAGACGGAGCAGACAGCAGGCTAATGGGTTGATAGTCCTTTGAAAATATCGAACCCAGCTACTTTGGCATTATTATAACTTCAGTAGTCTTCTACGCCGATGGAAAGTAGTGGGTCCTTAGCATGGTATTGATAATAGCCACGAGATAAGTCAAAGACATCTGTAAAACCAGCTTCAGCGCCTTATTAGTGATTTGATCCTCCCCAGGCGTTTTATGCACTTTGAGGTCTTAAATATGACCTTGAAGCTCTGCTAGTGTGTAATGAGGAATCTCGGGAGAAGCCGCTGATGTGATGTGCAATTCTTCAGCTGAAGAATTTTCCGAAAAAGAATCTTCCGAGGAAGAATCATTAATGGCGGCGTCGGGATCACTGACGTCGTTGGCTTTAAAATATCTCCTGACGGATCTTACAATTTGTTGCTCCTCGACGAGATCATTATGACGATCATAGTAGGGAGAGAATTGTCATTGTACAGCATCACCGAAAACCTCGATTTTGTCCTCTGTCCTGAAGACTATGCTCTCAGGACCGTAGATGTGCGGGAGTTGTCTCGCTTTCCGTTTCTAAGCGAATTTGTCACTTTCCCGAAAGCAGTAGTTGAGTCAAGCATAACCCAAGTAATATGTATTTCTGCTTGTTGGCTTCATTAGGCCCGAAATGAATGCATATATGCAACAAAAAAGTAGATACATGTACCTATACATCCGCATGCAGGTATAATTTAAGGAAATGAAGATGGAGAGGAAAAAATAACATACAAAGTCCACAACAAAAGTTAACCTACACATTGTAGTATAAAATGGCTGAAGAACTTCCTATTTTCAAGGCACCATTTAACCACAATTACGCGACTGGTTGTAACCACCTGCTGTGGTATTTACTTTTAATACTTGTATATGTGTATTCATTTCAAGCTTGATAAAGCCAACATGCAAAAATATGTATCACTTAGGTTACTTATCCTATTTTCTGTTCGAACGCGCTTTCTTTTTATTTGTTATATATCTTTCTCTACATGATTATTTTCTCTTTGTAGATCCTTTAGGCTTGGAGCACCATAATAGGTGGTTATAATTGGCTGCATGATTGTGGTTAGATGTCGCTTTGAAAATTCGAGGTTTTTTAGCTATTTTATACTACAAAGTGTAGGTTAGTTTTTGTTGTGAATGTTGTGTGTCTTTTTTTTTTCTTTGCAACTTTGATTCATCAGGTTATATCTGTATGCAGAGGTGCATTTATTTCGGGTTTGAAGAAGCTAATAAACAAAAATAATATCTCTTGAGTCACCTATCTGATTATCTGCTCGAATCCACTTTATTCTTCAATAGGTATTTTTGTTTTGCAGATTTTGTCCATTTTTTTGTGTTATATATATTATATTATATATATATATATATATAATAAATAAAAAAGGAAATAAAGAAAGAAGATTCGAGCAAAAAATAGATTATTTAACCCGAGTGATACGTATTTTTGCTTGTTGGCTTTATCAGGCCCGATATGAATGTACATATGTAATTACAAAAGCAAATACACATGCTTATACATCCGGATATGGGTGCAACCTGAAGAAACAAATATGGTGAACGAATAAAATGACACACGAAATCAAGCTGACATCTAACCATAACAATGCGATCGGTTATAAACACTACTATAAGCCGAAAGAATTTTATTCATGTGGCGAAAGGTATACAAGGTGTCCCATATACCTATTTGATAGTTATTCTAAAATAATAATTTTAGATAGGAAGAAAGACAAGAATGCAAGTATTACATCCTTATCATTTTAAACGGATGCAGCATTTAACGGAGGCAGATTTTTTACTATGAAACGAGTTTTGCCAGTGGATATTAGCAAATGAAAATATTATTCCTAGAATATTATGGTCGGATGAGTCAATATTTACTAGGAATGGTGCTTTTAATTTCCATAGCATGCATCACTGGTCAGATGAAAATCCAAAAGTTGTTCGACGTACAATTTTCCAACATAGATT